GCTCGTGATACATCAAGATCGTTCCACCTGAAGAACACGAGAGAGAGAGAGAGATCAAACACATAGCTACTGGTACATACCCTCAACCCCGAGGGTGAACTACTCCCTCCTCATCATGGAGAGCACCGGGATGATGAAGATGGCCACAAGAGAGGGATTCCCCCCTCCGGCAGGGTGCCGGGACGGGTCTAGATTTGTTTTCGGTGGCTACAGAGGCTTCTGGCGGCTAAACTCCTGATCTATTGTGCTCCCCGATGTTTCTAGGGTATATGGATATATATATAGGCGAAAGAAGTCGGTCAGGGGGCCACGAGGTGGCCACGAGGCAGGGGGCACGCCTAGGGGTAGGGTGCGCCCCCACCCTCGTGGTGACCTCGAGACTCTTCTGGCCCACCTCCGGTACTCCATGGGCTTCTTCTGGTCCAAAAATGATCTCCGTGAAGTTTCGGGTCAATTGGACTCCATTTGATTTTCCTTTTCTGCGATAGTTAAAAACAAGGAAAAAACAGAAACTGGCACTGGGCTCTAGGCTAATAGGTTAGTCCCAAAAATCATATAAAATAGCATATTAATGCATATAAAACATCCAAGGTTGATAATATAATAGCATGGAACAATCAAAAATTATAGATACGTTGGAGACGTATCAATGATGGATAATTATGTCGGATGCGATTCCTCATGCAATAGTTATAACATAGGGTGACACAGAACTACCTCCAGTTCATCAATGTAATGTAGGCATGTATTCCGAATATAGTCATACGTGCTTATGGAAATGAACTTGCATGACATCTTTTGTCCTACCCTCCCGTGGCAGCGGGGTCCTATTGGAAACTAAGGGATATTAAGGCCTCCTTTTAATAGAGTACCGGACCAAAGCATTAACACATAATGAATACATGAACTCCTCAAACTACGGTCATCACCAGTAAGTATCCCGATTATTGTCACTTTGGGGTTAACGGATCATAACACATAATAGGTGACTATAGACTTGCAAGATCGGATCAAGAACTCACATATATTCATGAAACATAATAGGTTCAGATCTGAAATCATGGCACTCGGGCCCTAGTGACAAGCAAGTCATAGCAACATCAATCTCAGAACATAGTGGATACTAGGGATCAAACCCTAACAAAACTAACTCGATTACATGATAAATCTCATCCAACCTATCACCGTCCAGCAAGCCTACGATGGAATTACTCACGCACGGCGGTGAGCATCATGAAATTGGTGATGGAGGAAGGTTGATAATGACGATGGCGACAGATTCCCCTCTCCGGAGCCCCGAACGGACTCCAGATCAGCCATCCCGAGAGAGTTTAGGGCTTGGCGGCGGCTTCATATCGTAAAACGCGATAAATCCTTCTCTCTGATTTTTTTCTCCCCGAACATGAATATATAGAGTTGGAGTTGAGATCGGAAGAGCACCAGGGGCCCACAAGGCAGGAGGGCGCGCCCAGGGGGGTAGGCGCGCCCCCACCCTCGTGGATAGGGTGTGGGCCCCTGGCCTTGATTCTTTTGCCAGTATTTTTTATATATGTTCCAAAAATAATCTCTGTTGATTTTCAGGTCATTCCGAGAACTTTTATTTCTGCACAAAAATAACACCATGGCAATTCTGCTGAAAACAGCGTCAGTCTGGGTTAGTTCCATTCAAATCATGCAAGTTAGAGTCCAAAACAAGGGCAAAAGTGTTTGGAAAAGTAGATACGTTGGAGACGTATCAAGGAAGAGGCTCCATTAGTCATTGATCACGTCGCCATAGATGAGGATGAGGATGACGATAACACTGAACAGTATCTCAATACTGGCGCCTATGATGAGTACTCAGGGTTTGAGCGTCATGAGTCGGTGCATGAATTGCCGCCTCCAGAGGCTAAACATATTATATACGAACTTCCAGTAGGAAAGAAGCATAGGAAGAGATGGAGGAAAGGCAACAAAGCTGCTTCTATGATCCAACTACCTCCGCAGCCTCGGGTTAAAGACCGTATACCTATCCCCGGTGCAGCAAAATGGCATGTCGCCGGTGAACCAATCCTACCTAAGGCGGCATTGGAGGCCACACACGGCAATCTAAGGGGACTTCATGAGGATGTGATGCGGTGAGAGAAAAGCCTCATCGCCTCGGAAAATCCAGGATACCCACTCTATGTGGTTAATGTGCCGCGGCAAAGCTCGTACATCCACTCATGCTGCGCGGACAAGTTCTTCCTTTGATTCGATTACATCTTCGACATGTTTCACTTGAAGAAGCTGGATTTTACGTTTGTCCGCCTTTATGCCTTGTACATGAACTACATCATCGGGATTGAGCAGATACCTTATATGTGTGTCGTTGACCCGTACTACACCCACGATGGCTTCTTGGCAGGCTGCGCAGAGCACCGTGAATACGCAAGGGACTACATCGTCGAATTCATGGTCGCTAATAAGGACAAGGAGGCGATTCTCGTGCCTTATCATCCCATGTAAGTCATCCGCGCGGATATCCTTCCTTCGATTTCAATCATTCATTTGCACAGTGGAGGCTAATTAATTTGAGGTGTACTTATTTTGCGTAGCGGCGGGTGCGTCGTCCTCATCATCCTTTACCCCCGATACTCTCAGGCTCTTTACTTGGACTCGTCGAAGAACATGAACAAAAAGGATTACACCCACATCAAGTCTGTTCTCGATAGTGCTATGTTTTACTACGGCGTACGGGGTGGAGAGGTCAAGGACAAGAAGAAAAGGGATGGCAGGCCCGCATTCGGCCATAAGACCGACTTCTGCTGCATCCAGCAACCGAGTGATTCTCTTAGTGATGGATTCTATGTCCTATACCACATGCTGGAGTATAGACGGGATCATCAGGACCTTTGCATGTCACCTAAATCCGGCGATGCCCATATTCTGCAATGGGCAAAGAACGTAGGAGATATCCCAGATCATCGACTTCAAGCTGAGTTCTATCACATCCAGCATGAACTTTCCCAAGTCATCATGAAGGAGGTCCTCGACAAAACAGGTCTGTTCTACGAGGAAGGGCAAATGTCGTGGGAAGAAGTCCGAACACGCGTAGCCGCTCAATGTCTCGACATGAAGCCTTTCACTAAGCTCGGGGACTATCTCCCTGACTTGGATGGATGGAACGACATGTTGGAGTGATTGTCGATATATGACAATGTGTCCGTTTAGTCCATACTTTCTGGATGACGAAACTTTGAGTTATGCACGACGAAACTTTATTTATGATGTAATTAAACCGTCCTCCTCAACTAGCGAAGATCACTCTGGTTAGGGCATTTTGGGTACGATGAACTTGGTTATTTATGCTTATGATATGTTGCTTCTATTTTTGCCAAGTCTGTCTCTTTCTGTTGCTCAACTATGTATGTTGCATATCATCGACTCATGTGACGATGCAGGTGCATAGATCATCGATGGCGAAGAAGTGTAACGCCAGGAGTATACGACGAGTGGCCGGAGTGTCAGGCCCCAGGTGTACCGGTTTTCGGTTTCCGAGCGACAGCTAGTAGTTAGTTTAGGTTCACGCTAATGCGAGAGAGGGATACGAATTCATGTACTGCATAGTTTCACTCTCACTCATAGTGATAGCTCTTCTTTCGTATATCATTGTTTAGATGGATGATGATGTAGTTGCAAGTAATCGAGACTTGTATCGCTATTTTCGAGATGATGACGAGAGACCATTTTGTGTTGGATGATGATTATGATGATGACATGATTTGATGCTATGGTTACATTTGTATGTGTGTGATATGCTAAAGATTCTTGTATAAAGCCTGTTCAAATACAAAATAAATATGCAGAAAAAAAATAGCAGTAGCGAGTGGAGAAAAGTTAGCGGTAGCGTGCCACTAGCAGTAGCGCGGTCTAATAAAAAGCGCTAGAGCTATTAGCAGTAGCGTGCTTCCATACTGTTCGCTGCTGCTAAGTTTGTATAGCAGTAGTGCGGGCAGACACGCCCCCGCGCTGCTGCTACAGGTTAGTTGTAGCGCCGTATCAGTAGCGGGACCCCGCGCTACTGCTATACCTAAAACCCGCACTGCTGTTAGGCTTTTTCCTAGTAATGCGTGTGACCTCGACAGATTGATGTATGCCCCTATCATAAAGAAAATTACGTACTTGATGTCACTCCATGAAAGATGTACTACTCATGTTAGTCTCGTACGAGTAGTAAGAACAAGGTTAGCGATTGCCTAGCAAATTTTGCGTGGAACTACTCTGCGCCGACACTCGGTGAACGATTTTCAGACGACACCTGATCCAGCGGCCGTGTGACACTTGCTCCTCACCATGCATGGTTGGATGAATGGCATCGTCTCAAAATCGGCCGGACAGTGTCATCTTTATAGCGGCGCTCAATTTTGCCAGATGGCAGAACCATGGCTTGGTTTTTAATCTCCTGGTGCACTTGAGTTAGCTCCAACAGATTTTAATAACATTGTGATTGAGTAATTGTGATTGAGTAATACAGAGTTTTCATCCGGAAAAAAAAGTGATATATGTGTTCTTGCTGGTCCAAATCCGCATGATCTCGCAAAAGACGGCAAGTACAGGTTGATCATACGCCCTGCACACAAGCTGTGAACGTCGGCGATCCATTTCCGATCGGATGTGTGCGGTTGCGTATTTGGTGGATGCATTATTTTTAATATAAAAAGTAAATGTTACTAAAACTTAACCAGCAAGCACCAGTGGTCTAGTGGTAGAATAGTACCCTGCCACGGTACAGACCCGGGTTCGATTCCCGGCTGGTGCAAGTGATTTTTTGGTTGAATCATCCTCTTGTGCACGTCGATGCCGATCGGCCACTGCCCTACTGCGCATCGAGCTTCACACATTCACACAGAAACCATATGAGCTGCGAAACTGAATTATGAATCCCCATTTACAAGCATCCTCCTCTTACAGCAGGTAGTGTGAGCACATGATCAATTATTTCGGTAGAATAATCATCTCGGCGAGCGCGCGACTAGAATCTAGAACTCGTCGACGGTGATGGCGCCTCTGACGACCTCGTATGCCTCGCGGCTGCGCGACTTCTTGATGCCTACGGCGAAGTAGACCTTTGCGGCGTCGGCCTTGACGGCGGTGACCCTGGCCCAGACGAGCACCTTGGCTTTGAGGCCCTCCACCCCCGTCAGGCTGCCCTTGTCCAGCGTGCCGGTCACCGTGGTGTCGAAACGCAGCTCGGAGCCGTCCCTGTAGCCGACCTCGCAGACCGCCGGGATGTGCACCGTCAGCCGCCGCGTCTCCGGCTCGAACTCGTAGTTGGTGGCCTCCCGCGGGAACAGCCCCGCCGGAAGGTCGTGCTCCTGGAGCAGCTCCGCCAGCGGCTTCTGCATCTTACCCTTGAGCTTGTTTACCAGCCATTTTGCTCCGTCCCCGACACTGGTTGAGAGCGACTGCACCACCAATAGATCATCAGCCAGAGGAATACATCGAATCATAGATCTTAATTATCAGAGTCGGATTTCAAATTTGTTATAGCGAGCTTGAACGTCGAACCAAAAGTATCACATGGCGGTCCAGCCAGGATCGATCTAAAACCAGAAGGAAAACATGCTAGCGAGAACAGAAACAATACCATGACCAAACAATAATCAGGGGAAATATGGTGCGACAACAGAACAGAACAGAAGATTGATGAGACGGTGTCTCATGCACGGACCTCGATGTCGTCACCGGCCGACGACATCTCTTTGTTGGCCCTCTGCCCCAGCCAGTAGGAGCCCATCTTGTTCATGATCTCATCCATGGCTCTCCCAGCAAGCAAGCGCTTATCCCTCTTTCTCTCTCTGTACTCTGCTCCCTCTATGATATTTCTTGCTCTGTTTCTTGGTTTCTTGGGATACGATGCGTTCGCAGGAGGAGGGAATTGTGGGGAGCCTCGTCGTTGGCCAGGACAGGATCAAGGCAAGACGAGGAGAAAGAAAGTGGCGATCCATTACCGCGTGAAAGAGACGGGTCTCGTATGGCTTGGTCGTTGAGACGGCTGCGCGTGTTGAAAAACGCCGGCTGTTGATGACATGTGTGACTTGGAGGTTGGGTCACCTCGCATTCCAGAAACCTCCGGGATGGCGGTAAGGGAACGGTTGTATGTGGTACTAATGGGTCCTCATTCTCTATGGAAGATTGTTTGGGAGCAATGTGTGTCGCCCAGAGTTTTTTTAAAGAAAGAGGACCCCGTCCTTTGCATATTGGCGATGCATGCAGTCATTTTATTAATTATTCACAAACACTTTACAAAGAAATACAACAGTAAATCTAAATTCATAGTTTATCATTTTATTAATTATTCACAAAGACCTTATAAAGAAATACAACAGTAAGTCTAAATCCACCCTCTAGACAACAACTGTCGCTACTCCTATTCAGTTGATACAGAGATGCTGATAGTATGGGCCTAATATCAAACAGACCTTGCAGCCAAACCTAACATTTAAGACCTGAGGCCACAACCAAGCCACTTGCCGGGTATAGGGCACACACTGGTCCGACGCGCTCTCAGAGGCCGCCGCCGCCAACTGCCACCAGTCCATCTTTAGAGCTGAACTGACGCATCAACCTTGCCCGGTCTAGCTACTGTCGACGCCACCACGGTGCCAAACGGCACCACCTCCCTGCGCGCGAACTGTTGGGCACGTCGCCGTCGCCGCCGGTACACCTTAGCATCATGCCACCAAGTATCACCAGCCGACATAGCTTGAAGTCTTTGGAAGATTTGTCGTGCGTAGCACCTGCCGAACAGGCATGACAAAGCGTGGCACCTGCCGGCCAGACATGATTTGACATTTCCACCGAAGCTACATGCAAGACGAAGCCGCTCCACCTCCTGCCTCTAATTTCTAGAGCTGCTCCACAAACGATGCTCCCAAGAGAGAAACGACACCGCAATGTTATCATCGTCCGATCTGGAAGACCAGATCCTACGGTTTCCACCGGAGCAGTACGAGTGGGTCGATAGTAATTACATGACGATGCCTTCATCAGGGTGACGACGCAGAACGCCGCCGTTGGATCACCGGCAACTACGTCTCCCCTACTCGCAGCCGGTACTAGATGACGGATCCCGAGATCCGAACACCCAGCCTCAGGCCGACCACCTCTGACGGAAGAGATGACCACCGCCGCCGGCTGCACCGGTCAGAACAGATCTGATCGGAGGTGCCACCGACGAGACCACCAGGCCTCCATGCCGCCATCACCGATCTGAAGGCAACATGCACGCCACCACAGCCAAGTCGGCTGCCGCCGACCACACCCGTCGCCGCCTTCCGAAGGGCCAGCCGTTGCACCCGCAACCCTGGCCGCCACCTGTGACTAGGCCGCCCGCCACGCCAAGCCATCATCGTCCGAGGACGGGTCGGCCTCCCGCCGCCTGCCGCGGCCATCCGTCGCGCCACAGATCACAGATCGGTCGCGCCACCACACGCCTTGGGGTCCGCCCCATCCTGGAGTCGCGAGAGAGAGGAGATCCCCCGCCACCGCCATCGACCCTCGGGCTTAGTGTAAGGGCATATTTCTCCTATGTGGTTTTGATGATTGATGACAGTGCAGTTGCGGACTAATCGTGTGCATTGAGCATTTCGGATATCTCATGTCTAGACACAAGACGATCCGGTGCCCCTCGGAGCCTATCGAAGACGACGGTTCTCTACGTTTCTTTTTGGTGGATTTGAGTCGTAGGAAAGCCGTACTATTAAGAGGGGGGTCCGCTTCGGAAAGGTTAGGGCGGAATCAACACGTACACATATGTTCCTTTGCACCACCTTTCCTTCACTTTGATGAAGCACCTTATGTTTATCCATGTCTCTGCGATATGAAGGCTTCCAAATGCTAAAGACTTTGTGGCGTGCGGTAGTACTGCTAAGAGAGCAGTAGTACCGCAGAGGCGCGTGATAGTACCGCTAAGTTGAGCAGTAGTACCGCTCCTGGCGAGCGGTAGTACCGCTGCCTCCAGCCCTGACGATGAAGCGTGCGGAAGTAGGCGCGGATGTAATTTTTTACTTCCGCTCCTACGCGGTAGAACCGTGCCAGATTTTTGCACCACTCCGAACTCTGCAGAAGTAGTTACGGAAGTAATTTATTTATTCCGTACACTTCCAGCGCCAGTTGAGCCTACAGTAGTATCGTGGGGGCGCGCGGTAGTACCGCTCCGGCGGTAGGCGGTTCTACCGCTCGTTGCCCTATGCAATAGGCCCTCGTCTGGTATCTACCGCGCAAGCGGTAGTACCGCTCACCACACCGGTAGTACTGCAACCCTTTGCGGTAGTACCGCGGCTGTGTGCAGTAGTACCGCGCCGCGCGGGCTGAGTAAGAGGATAACGGTTGGATCTTTTCACCCACTATATAAAAGGGGTCTTCTTCCCCAAGAAGACCACCTCTTCTCTCCCCAAGCTCCATTGTTGCTCAAAGCTTCATTTTCGCCTGATCTCTCTCCTTAGCCAATCAAACTTGTTGATTCTTTAGGTATTGGTTGAGAAGGCCCCGATCTACACTACCATCAAGAGAAATTTGATTCCCCATACTAATCCTTTGCGGATCTTGTTACTCTTGGGTGTTTGAGCACCCTAGACAGTTGAGGTCATCGCGGACCATATTCCATTGTGGTGAAGCTTCGTGGTGTCGTTGGGAGCCTCTAATTAAGTTGTGGAGATAGCCCCAACCTTGTTTGTAAAGGTTCGGTCGCCGCCTTTAAGAGCACCAATTGTGGAATCACGACATCTCGCATTGTGTGAGGGCATGAGGAGAATACGGTGGCCCTAGTGGCTTCTTGGGGAGCATTGTGCCTCCACACTGCTCCAACGGAGACGTACTTCCTCTCAAAGGGAAGGAACTTCGGTAACACATCCTCGTCTGCACCGGCTCCACCCTTGGTTATCTCTTACCTTTACTTGTGCAAGCTTATATTGTGTTGTATCCCTTGCTTGCTTGTGTGCTTGTTGTTGTTGCATCATATAGGTTGCTCATCTAGTTGCATATCTCGACAACCTATTTTGATGCTAAGTTTAATTTGGTAAAGAAAAGCTAAAAATTGTCAGGTGCCTATTCACCCCCCTCTAGTCAACCATATCGATCCTTTCAATTGGTATCAGAGCCTCGTCTTTTTATTAAGGACTTTGCCATCTGAAGAGTATGGTTGGCACCACAGACGAGGTGGAGGAGCACTCCGGTGCGAGTCCCACCTTGTCTGTGGTCGATGGGGGATCCTCGGTCTCTCATGAAGAGTTCAATGCGGCTTTGGAAACATTGAAAACCTCCATGACGACCGAGGTTAAAGGCATGTTTAAGGAATTTCTTGAAGGCCTTAAATTATCCACCGCACCTTTGGAAGTGGTTGACCCCGCTAACAAGGTGACGGATGCTAACTCCAATAAGGGGGGAAGCTACTAGTGATCAAGTTCCTTTGCCTAGTGGTAGAAGTGGGAGTGACATCTTTTCCCATGTTAAACCTCCACTTACTTATGGAGGACCATTTCCCTCCATGCATATGAATCATGTTGGTCCTCCTCCTAAGCTTGTGAAAAATGCGGATTTTGCCTCTTGGGTGTATCGCTTTAAACGTCATTTAAATCATAGTTCTACTGATCTTTGGAGAATTATTGAGCAAAGTTTCTACCCGCACGACCCAAGAAACTTCACTCCTATAGAAGCTATGGATCATCAATTCAACGAGTCTGCTCTCTTCATTCTCCAAGAAGCCATTCCTCCTGAAGATATTGCGCACCTCCAACCTTTCACCGTGGCCAAGGAAGCATGGCAACATGTTGTTTCCATTTACAAGGGAAGCGCAAGCATTCAACGCTCAAAATTTGAGGTGGTGCGAGATGAAGCCGATGAGTTTGCAATGATTGAAGATGAAGAACCTCGGGAGCTTTACCGAAGATTAACCACTCTCGCGGTCTCTCTCCAAGATCATGGGAGCAAGGATACAGATGACAATTGGATCAAGCGCAAGTTTCTCAAGGCCATGATGCCATACCATAAGGTCATGTCCTCCGTCATCTATCAAAGGCCAGACTTTCACGCCTTGTCCTCAAGTGAAGTGTTGGATGAGTTTGTTGCAATGAGGATCTTGGACAAGACCGTCGACAATGCGGTGTTGCATTCTCAACGATCAAAGAAACCCAACCTTGCTTTGAAGGCCAAGGCTAATGTGGAAGAAGAGGGTGAAGAGGAATAAGAGGAGAGTTTCCCCGAAGATACCAAATATGCCTATCATGAGCACATGGCTCTCGCTTCACGACAATTTTGGAGCAAGAAGAATTCAAGGCCCAACTTCAACAAGAACAACTCAAGTGGCGCCAAGGGCAAGCAACGTGTGAGGACATGCTATACTTGTGGCAATGTGAGTCACTTTGTTGTGGATTGCCCGTGCGAGAAGAGAGAAGACAATGGTGGCAAGCTTATCTGAAAAGACAAGGCCAAGTCCTTCCCCAACAAGAACAACGTCACCAAGAAGACTCCTCCCAAGGGGTTGGTAGCACAAGAAGAGTACAATGAGGATGATGACGATGATGAAGATGGTGAGACGGTTTCCATGGCCTTCGTCGCCATTGCAACAACTCCACGGGTGTCCCTCTTTGATTCACCCAACAAGAACATCACCGCTAAGTACCTCATGGCTAAAGCCACCAACAAGGTAACCCCCAACATCGGAACTACAATCACTACTAATCCTTCCTTGATGGATTTCATTGATGAAAGTTAGGGGGCGAAGGAGGAGGAAAATGAATTTGAGTCTTTTATGAGTAA